TTAATGAGAAGCTTTTATAACCACATAAATAATTTGGGCCCCTTTTTGAATTGTTTAGGACCACAAATTCTAAAAGTCTTTATTTTTTCTTAAACTTCGTGCCCAGTCAAACAAGTTCACATAAATTGGAACGGAGAGAGTACTAATAGAACTATACAATTTATATATAATAAATTATCATTATACAAAATAGACTGTCATTATACAAACATATACTAAATAGACTATCACTATACAAAATAGACTATCACTATACAAAATAGATATTTCAGGCTATTAGATGTAATATGTTTGGGCCATAAGGACATTTCAGGTCAATGGGGAACAACATGGGCTATTAAAATTTTGAGGGGTCATAGAGGGTAGTTTTCTCAATTTTATTTGACAATCACTACTAGAAATCCGGTAAAAATCGACCAAAAAAACCGACCAAAGTTGGTCGGTAATGGCCAATAACCGACCAAAACGCGATTATTTACGTGTGGACGGTATTTTAGGGGGCGGAAAGGAATACCGACCAAAGTTGGTCGGAAATTACGGACCAACTTTGGTCGGTCAATTAAATTTAAAAAAAATAAATATTGCAAAAACAAACCGCCCAACTCCGACCAAAGTTGGTCGGTATTTTAATTATGTAATCAAAAGATTTACCATCTAGGAATCGAACCGGGGTTTGTACTGTGGCAGGATACTATTCTGCCACTAGATCATTGGTGCATTTTGTTTTAAGACTGCCTTTTATTTGATTTATACTCTTTAATTGTATTTTCGCACGAAAATAACCGACCAAAGTTGGTCGGTTTTATTAAAAAGTAAAATTACCGACCAAAGTTGGTCGTTTTTTTAAATGACCGGCCGAATTAACCGACCAATTTTGGTCGGTTTTTTTAATATTAAATTTTATTTATTTTAATTGAAAAATCGACCAAAGTTGGTCGGTTTCTTGAAAAATAAATTTCGCGGGACTCAAAAATAGTTTCCCGCATTTTTTCGCCAAAGAAAACCGACCAAAGTTGGTCGGTTTCGTAAAAAAAATTAAAAAATAAAATATTTTACCAAAGTTAGTCGGTCGACCTTGGTCGGTTTTTGCTGAATTTCTAGTAGTGAATCCATGTTAGGCATTTCGTCATGTGAGGTTGATAATTGTTTTTACATCAAATAGCCAGCCGAATTTACTGTTTTATTTTTCTAACCAGTATACATAAATTATGCACTAATTATACACGGTTATTTACATATTCCTTCCGTCCCAATTTATGTAACAGTGTTCAGATGCCGAGAGTCAAACGAATTATTTTTTGATCGTAATATTTTCATATACCTTTTAAATATTTTGAACTGGTGAATTATCCGCGCATCGCGCGGCTATGGTGTACTCCGTTAATTTTGTTTTTAAATATTCATATATTAATCTTAACCAAAAATACAATTGACTATTTTTAATGTATTCAAATGTTTGGTCTTAAAATTTCCTTGAGACCTATAATTTGTCCATTTATTATTGATCTTTTCAATTTGTTTTGTTAAGAGAATTACAAAAATATTTTTTCCTTTAGTTTCTATTTTTATAATTTTGGGAACTTTTATCTTATAGATATTTGGTTACATTTTTATTTCTCATACAATAAAGTCATTGTATTCCCCCTAATGTTAGTGTAATTATATATACAATATTCTTTGATATTAGCGTGTACTAACTTGATTTCATTTCCTTGAAAAGTTAATATTTCGTACTTATATAATTGTATCCTATTTAAAAGATCATAAAACTAAAGAAATAAAATAAAAACTTAAAGAAAAACAAAGGCTGCTGGGACTTCATCTCTATACATTGTTCCGCCCTGTAGGATGCATTGGATTATTGGAACTCCTTGAAGTGTTATTCTCTTCTCCCTTCCTTTTTTTTGTTTCATTCTTCTTTTTTTGATTCGAGAACATGTCTATATGCCGTCAATTTAATTACAAACATACTGTAAATGCAAAAAGTATCGTAACCACTTGTCTATAATATTTCTCAGAAAAAAATATCAAACGTGATTTGAGATTCATATGCAATTTTTAGTATTTGTTGTCACATAGTCTTAAATCAAGAGGCTTACTATCAAATTTTATACATACCTTATCTTTGACATGTTTCCACATCGTTGGACTGATTAACGTTCCCAAGAAGTCTAAATATTTAGGTACAATGGACTTTATAAAATTGCTGACCATTGTTTTACGACTTTATTATGTCAAATTTTATATATACCTCTCATGTTTGATAACGCCAGTTACAGAATAGAATATCTATATACATAAATACACACATGCACTAAACTTACAAAGAGAATACATGTGAAAAGACACTTCGCAGTCGCTCTAAAATAAGAGAATCATGAATAGCGCAATGAAAATTTCAACATTCATGACAAAATTTCATACTTGTGTAAGCACTACAAAAGGTGAAGCACATAATCGTGCTTATCATTTGATAAAAATAACGATTCTTTAGCAAAAAGAGCAAAGTATAGGCAAAGGTTTTACATTTAAATTCGAGCATTAACTACAAACCCTACAACAGACTAAAAGAATAACATAACGTTTGAATCTCATTCTGTCACAAATAACATCATATGCTCATTTCTTCCCCACTCTCTCACTCCACTCCCTAATCAATAAAAAATATGTACAAAATTTGCATGTGAAATAATAATTCGGGCAAAATACAAATAACTGGAAAAGAGGTTAAAAAAAATATATATATATTTTATGTCGAGAGAGTTTGAATGAAAGGAGAGGAGGGATGGATGAAGAATAATAGACCAAAGTTATTTGGAGGAGAAGATTTACTTCAATATTTATAGTAACCAATTCCATTAGTAACGTACATTGAGTGTAATAGGAATAAATAATAACGTATAATTGTTATAGAATTAGTGTTAGCGTATTAATTAGTAATAAATCCGCCCCTGAACGTATATAGGATCATAATAAATAATTTGGAACGGCAATTGAAACGACACTCTTTATTCCCCTTCATCATGTATTGTTGAGTTTCAATTAAACCTTAAGTTGTTTGAATGCAATAATTGGTTATTGTATCAAAATGAGAGGAAAAAAATCCAAAACATTGAGATAGTAGATACTACAAATTCGGCAAAAAACGACCACGGTCGACCGACCAAAAAAATCGACCAAAAAACCGATCAAAGTTGGTCGGTTTTTCAATGGCGCAAAAATGCGGGAAACTATTTTTGAGTTCCGCAAAATTTATTTTTCAAGAAACCGACCAACTTTGGTCGGTTTTTTATTTAAAATAAATTAAAATTAATATTAAAAAATCGACCGAAATCGGTCGATTAATTCGACCGGTCATTTTAAAAATCGACCGAATTCGGTCGGTAATTTTATTTTTTAATAAAATCGACCAACTTTGGTCAGTTATTTTCGTACGAAAATACAATTAAAGAGTATAAATGAAATAAAAGACAGTCTTAAAACAAAATGCACCAATGATCTAGTGGTAGAATAGTATCCTGCCATAGTACATACCCCGGTTTGATAGTCAGATGGTGCATTTTTTTAATTACATAATTAAAATACCGACCAACTTTGGTCGGAAAAAACCGACCAACTTTGGTCGTTTTTTTCGGTAATTTTTTTTTTTAATTTAATTGACCGACCAAAGTTGGTCGGTAATTTCCGACCAACTTTAGTTTGGTCGGTATGCCCTTCCGACCTTCAAAATACCGACCACACGTTAATGGTCGCGTTTTGGATGGTTATTGGCCATTACCAACCAACTTTGGTTGGTTGTTTTGGACGGTTTATCCCGAATTTCTAATAGTGAGGATCCTTGGCCATAGAGATATGCCATGTCAACATTTTTTCCACTCCTTTATATATATATATATATA